TGTGTGTATGCATGTGCGTGTGTGTATGCGTGTGCATGCGCGTGTGTTTGCATGTGTGTGTTTGTGTGTTTGTGTGTGTGTGGGAGGGGGGGGGTGTACGTAACATAGCTATCCCACAGAATGTGGAAAACAGGACTCAACTCAAGATCGTCCATTAGTATGTTTGTTAGATAGCAATTTAGCTATGGAGGACGTATGTTGCAGAGGTAGAAGGGGTGTAAAGGTAGGGGTCTTAGGTTATTGCAGGAACAGTGTTAATGTTAATGTGTTAGAAATTAGGAAAGGGCAAAGCCCAGCCGTAGGGGGGGTGCACGCCCTGAAGCGCGCTTTTCGCCGCCTAGCACCCATAGCAGCTCATCAGAGGGGTTAACTAAGTAGAGGCTCCTGTTAGAAATCGGGGTGGGGGATAGGTAAGCAAGGTGTCAGGGGCTCCAAGGTAATACATAGGCATAAGTTAACGAGAACATACCTGAGCGGTCACGGCCGGTGTTGCTGGGGGATCAGTCGCCGCCATAGCACGAAGGTGGTGACGCAGCATAGTATTAGGAAGCTTACAGTGTAAGTGGAGCACCCGGGGCACTGTAGCTTGTCAAACCGTCCCCTGAAACCAGGATCAGCTCGCGAGCAAACTTGCTTGAGTAGGGGAGGAGAAGGAGGAAGAGGAGGAGGAGGATCAGGAGGAAAGAGGTGGCAGGAGGCGGGAGCAAATTTGCTGCCGCTGGTGTAGTATATTGCATGGTAAGCAGTATTTGTAGTAGCGTTGGTTTATGCGGGTGCCTGTTGTATCGTAGCAGGGGGTAGTGATGTGTATGCCATGGGTGTGACGCGTGGCCAGCCATACTGTGGGGTATGATTAAGCAGTAGATGTGCCGGTGAGGATAAGCGTGGGGTGCGGGCGGTAGTCGTGTCCACAGGGGAAGTATGGGGGAGGGAGTATGCAAGTAATGAGCTTGTATTGAGAGGGTAGGCACAAGCAGGTCAGGAAGGAGGAGTTCCTTATTCGTAGCGTAATGGAGGGGTGGGGGTAGCCGATCTGCCCTGTGTCTGCGTCCGTAGGTGACGCACAGAGGGGTGGCGGCTTTGCAGCAGCATTTTTTGCCATTTGTCCTATAGTGTAGTGTTGTGGAGTTATTAGGTGGAGGATTGGCTATGGTGGTAGTATAGTGCGTCGTATGCGTGTTTGTTTTGTTGTGCGTAAGTAGTGTCGTTTCGATATGGTGTGTTTCGGGTTGGCGCCATTTTTCGGCCGTATTTCATAATTTGAAAGAATTATATCAAAAAAGATACTAGCCTGATGGAGGGTGTATTTGCGGGGTGGGTCTATGTGGGCGGGGTCTGGATGGAAAGTAACCGGGGAGTAGGGGACTTAACGCGTAGGAAAATGAGGGGTTTTTTATTATCATTATTATTAGGTGCTGTGTCTTTTTTTTTTTTTTTTTTTTTTATACAAATCAACTTTGCATTTCATTGTTGCTGTGTCTTATGACCGTGTGGGGGGGGGGGGTTGGTGCTGTTGTTGCGGACTACTAAAATGGTGGCAGGGCCTCAGTGTGCTAGCTGTCTTGTATTGTATTTTTCCGTCGTATATGGAGGATGTCTGGTTATGGTGGTAATAGTTTCTGTCGTATCTAGTTTGTCTCCCTTGTGCGTGTGTTTTGTTTTCTTGTGAGTCAGTTGCGCCGTTTCGGGATGGTGTGTTGGTGGTCGTAAAAATTAGCAAAAATAGTTCGTGGTTTGTTTCTTTGTTCTTCTTACCTTCTGGTTTTATTTGGTTCTTCTCTTTTTTTTGAAAAACGAGGTGACCCATAACCGACATGTGCGGTAATGCTCTGTCGTATAAGTAACAAAGCGTGGTTTATGTATGTAAAGTTGCACTGTTATAGTTATGAGGTGTTGGTTATGCTTTCGGTGGGTTGAAGTTGGGGGTGGGGCCGGGGTAGCAGGTTTTGAATTTAATTGGCAATATGTGAGTCGGCATTATTATTGCTTAATTTTTACTTTTTTATTTAATATCTATTTCTTTACTACTTTTATTATTTATTAATTAATTATATATATATATAATTATTTAATTATTTAATTATTTTATCTATTGTTTTATTGCTTTTATTATTTTATTATTTTATTATTTTAATTTAATTTAATTTAATTTATTATATATATATATATATATATACAGGGTTACCAGCCTGTACATACGGAGGCCCCCGGGCGGACCTCCGTACGTTCGGGCGTTCGGGGTCCCGTACGGGGCCCGAACCCGATGGCGTTCGGCCCCCGCCAAAAATTATTGCGGGGCCTAAAAATAATTTTATTTTTCTGAATTTTTTTTTATGGGTTCTCTATGACGTGAGGTACATGCCTATAAATTTTCAAGTCATTTGGCTTTGCCAAAAATGAATTAAGAATCGCCAAAGATGGCGGTGTCAAAACGTGCTCGCCCACGTTGTTTTTCACTTTTTACTTTTTGTTTTCACTTCAGTTCGGGGTCTAAACAATTTTATTCTTTTTTGAAACTTTTTTAGTGGGTTTTGTATTATGTGAGGTACACATCTGTGAATTTTAAGGGCATTTAGCTATGCCAAAAAAAAAATGAAAAATCGCCAAAAATGGCGGTGTCGAAAACATGCTCGCCCACTCACTAAATTTAACTCGGCGGGGTTGACGTGCGTTAGCCTTGCCTGCCAAAGTTTGCTGCGGGCATGAACACGGGAGTGCTGCGAGGGAATTAGGGTGCACGGGCGCGTGGTGCAGCTTCCACGAGGGCGGTGAAAACCCCTCGGTTTCTGCTCACCTTGGTCGGGAATCCCCGCGGGGAAACCCGGGAATCCTGGTCAACCTTGGAAGGATGGTGACAAGTGGGGGTGGTTGACGGGCAGGGTGTGAGCGCTCCACACAAACCTTATATCGAACTTGTCAGGGGGCAACGCCCTGGCTTTTATACGGAGCATGGTGTGTTGAAGACGTGGTCGACTCGGAACGTGGAGGTGATGGAGCGGTTGAATTGTGCCGATAACGGCTGGATTGTCCTTTGTTGATTGATGACTGCATGGACGGCTGATGTGGATGGCTGGAGAGTGGTGGTCTTTGCGCGGTGCTGACTTGGTGGGCTCGTTGATTGGCGTCGACGTGGTGGAATCTTGTTGAACGCCGGCGGGATTCTTCTATGCTGATCGGTGACACCATCGACGACTGACGTGGGCCGCTGACGTGGACCGCTGGAGCGTGTGGGTTTCAGTGTGATGAAGATTTGGTGCACGCGTCAACTGAGAGTGAAAATCAGGCCGGATTGCAGGGTGGTTTGGCCTGGCTTCTTGACAGGCGAGCAGCTGCTTTGACTGCTGAGCCTTGAATGTGTTGACGACTCGTTTAGGTTTTCAGTCCGCGAATTGACTTGTCGAGGAAGATTCCCGGTGGTTGCTGTGGCTGAGCTGCAGGTTCACGTGCGGGCTGATTAAGTTTTGCCCTGCAGTTGAGTTTGGCACGCTCGGATTTCTGACAGTTGTGTGCCTCGAGCTGCTTTTTGATGCGGATATTTCGAGAGGGGGGGTGACCAGTGACATCGATGTGCACGCCTGATTGTGGATGGAGCTTTTGACCGGGCCATGGATATGACGTCCTCTTCATCAGCAGCGCGTCAGGAGGTGGACCGCAGAGCAGACGACCTGCGTGGTATGCTGCAGAACTGCTTCCTCACTGGTGAGGAGGATGAACAAACGGCGACTCCTTACATTCGTACATTTCGGGATGCTCAAGAGGATAAGGTGGTGGTGGATTTGGACCCCCGAGCGGCGGATGTTACAGTTGGCTATCTGCGGCAGCACGGAGTGCTGGTGGTTTTTCAGGGAGCCGGTGCCGACGCGACGTTTGTTGAGAAGGAGGATTGGTTGCGAGCGATGGAGACGGGCTGGGACTTGGCCGCAGCCCATGGTCATCATGGCAGGATCAAACCAGAGGGCGCGAACATGGTATCCTATCTGGCGCCGAATCACGTGCTTCGAGACTGGCTGCTTAATACACTCAAGAAATGTGATAATGCAGTCGTGGGCGGTAAACCGTGTGTGGTTCAATTCAGGCCATGGGCCACTCCGGCTGAGCAAGCGGCGATTCGACAGCAAACACAGGATAAATTTTTCTGGATCAGAGTATTGCGGGTGCCCTTTTTGGCAATGCCTTTTCTTCGGGCGGCGGTGTCCAAAGAATTTGGTCAGATGTTGAAAGATTTTCCCCCGGAAAAGAACAAAGCGGCGCTTCAATTGATGAATCGGCGTTATGACCTGCATCCATCGGCGAAATCCAGAATCTCCAAATCATTGAAGTTCCAATCTCCGCATGGATGGCACACAGTAGATGTCGTAACACAAGACACTCCATGGTGTCACGACTGCAGATGATATGGGCATGACAGCGGTTCGACGGAGTGTCCTGAAGCATGTACACCACAAGGACGGACATATGTGGAGGCAGCAGGTGGGTCTTCTGCTCCCGCGGGAGGTGGTCTGCGGCCTGAGGGGGCACCTCCGCCGGGGGGGGCACCACTAGCAGGGGGGGGGCCGCCTCCGTTGAGAGATGGGCTTCCCCTGTCTGGGCCAACCCCTTTGCCAGTGCCTGTTGCGCCTTTACCCGTTGCTGGTGCAGGGCATCCCCTCCCAGTCTCGCCATTGTCTGCTGCTTCGCCAGCCCCATTTGGCATGCCTCTACCTGCAGTCTCGCCATTGCCTACTGCTTTGCCAGTCCCACTTGGCATGCCTCTACCTGCAGCCGAGGGTGGGCATCCTCAGCCTTCCCCACCGTGCCCGCTAGGAATTGTTGCTCCCTCTCCCCCGCCTGCTGCGCCACGGCCCCCCCCGGCCCCGACGACAACTGCTGAAGGACGCGCTGAAGAACACTCGTCCCAACTTCGACAGCAGGCGCAAGGAACAACGGTACCGGCAGGAGTAGCGGGAGGGCCTTCAGAGCAACAGTGGATCGGAGACGATGGTCTTAAGGAGGCTCCTCCCCCGACAAAGGAGATAACTGGGGAGGATCACAACGGAGGAAAGCGACCACAGGGGGTCCAAGGCAGCAGCAACCTGGCCCTTACGACCGGCCGTCTCAGGATTATCGTGCTTCATCAGATGCATCATCAGCAAAATCCGTCTCCTAGGCAGATATGGCCGATGCAGCAGCACAGCCGGCGGGTCTGCAAAGTTCAGTTCCCCTGCAGCCAGCGGGTCTGCAGAGTTAAGTTCCCCTGTTGCAACAGCCAGGGGTACAGCATCAACAACAGCAGCCGTCAACGGAGAATAGACAACCACTTCGAGCGCAGGTGTTCCCTGGCTCCATCACAGAGGCAATAGCAGCAGGACAACCATGGGTGGTAGTGCCGCTGGTGTTTACTGCGGTTGACGGGCTCTTGCAGTTGCTGACTGCAGTTTCTGCGGCGGGCCCTTTGGCGATTCCCCACCTGGAGTTGTACGAAGATCCGTCTCCGCAAGTGGTGCTACGAGAGGTGGGTAAGTGGATTTCTCCGGCCTACAAGATCAGACCCTTTCCAGAAATGGAATGCCCGAGACTAACACCGACTAATGATCAGGGAAGGACCGACATTATGATTTTTCCGATTATAGATGCAGTGGTCAACCCGACTGCTACAGCGCCACTGCCTCTTCCTGGCCTTCGCTGGTTGTCTTGGCCGCTGATGCAGAATCCGCAAGGACAGACTGCCACGGACACACGGATCTACGACTGTTGGAATGGGAGCTTGCTTACTCTAGTTGAGTTGGCTGTTCCCTGGCACAAAAGTTTGTTTTCAAATAATTTTTTACACCTTAAATGCATGGAATGGAGAGAGGCCAGCGTGTAAATGGACAAGATAAGATTGACATCATGGAACGTGCGAGGGTTGGGATCCCGTAGGATGGCAGTGAAAAGATCTTTGATTAAAACATAAATGAGGAACAAAGGAATACAGATCCTGCTGTTGCAAGAAACTAAACTAGATGCGGAAGCCATACAGGAGCAGTTGGGATGGTGGTCTGGCCAACAGTTTTGGGCTCCGGCGGTTGGCTCGAGGGGGGGAGTTGCGATTTTGTTTTCCCGTAATTTCCCCTTTCCGGTGACAGACTACCATATGGATTTTGCGGGAAAATGGGTCTGGGTAAGATTCAAGGTGGGGCAAGATGATTGGGCTGTTTTTAATGCATATGTGTCATCCTGGCAACAGCCAAGATTGGATTTTTTTAAATCTCTCCCTTGGCTGTTACCGGCGGTGGACAGACTCTTTCTGGGAGGCGATTGGAATACCGCCCTCGTGCCGGGTATGGATTCACCCAGAGTTGCCCCCTTGTCATCGGATGCTATCTTGCTTTCCGCGGTTATGGCAGATCAACGATTGCTTGATGCTTTTCGACAGTTGCATCCCTGTCTTAGAGCTTATACTTATTTTGCCTCTGCGACTGGCCAACAGCAATATCTCCCTCGCAGCAGAATATACCTTTTTCTTTTGTCAGAATTGCTGCAGCCCTTGTTGGCTACATGTAGCATTATCCCGTTCGGGGGATCAGATCACTTACCCCTTCTACTGGAGTGTTACCAGCACCCTGTTGTCAGAGCGGGTGGTGGCAGGATTACCCTTCCTGAATGGGTGCTTGATTCAGAGTACATGACCCAATACATGCAAAGTTTCTGGGCTGAATGGGCCCAGTCCAGACCACTGTACCTGTCCTCGACTGCGTGGCTCATGGGAGGGCTGAGATCGATCAAGAGCATGGGCCTCTTGTTTAAAAAATTTCTGTCAGCGGACCGCAGATCCGCCCTGGCTGACTTGAATAACCAAATGGCTCAGCTAACATCAGCACCCGCTTTGGATGAAATCGCGCTGATGACTCGTCTAGACTCCATACGACAACGCTGGACCCTGGAGGTGCTGCCGGCACTTAGGACTGCTGCCAACAAAAATAAAGTGCAGTGGTTGACCAAAGGAGATAGACTGACAGCAACTTTTTTTCGAGGACACCGACGGAAGTCGACACCATCATTGATCAGAGCCATGGCACATCCCATGGATCCCTTGGCGCCGGTTGCAGAAAGTACGGCAGGCGTCATGATTAACATCTCCTTGTTCTACGAAGCGTTGCTGGCCTCGCAGGCACAGTATACAGAGAATCAGCTGTTGACAGACTTCCACCAACCGGTGTGGTCCAAAATCCAAACAGTTCTTACACCAGAACACCTGCAGCTGTTGGACGGTGATCTGACCCTTGACGAGGTCTTGCGGGCCTGTCGGGCCCAGCCGAGACACAAAGCCCCCTTGGCGGATGGACTGCCTGGGTATTTTTTCAGGAAATACGCGTTCAGTCTGGCCCCGTTTTTGCTTAGCATGTTCCAGTCTATTTGGAACGGGGCTTCTCCCCCGCTGGACATGGTAACGGGGAGTTATTTCGCTTTTATACAAAAAGGGTGATGCGGCTGATGTACGCAATTATAGACAATTACACTAATGTCATCCTTGTATAAAATATTTGCTAAAATTCTGGCTTTCCGACTGCAGACGGTGCTGCCGGGTGTTATTCATCCATCTCAGACCGGTTTTTTGACAGGGAGGCAAATTTTGCACAATGTGATGATGGCTACAGAGATAGTGGAACTGGTCCTGTCAGGGGAGGGCCATTATGCGATTATGTTGTCCCATTTGATCATCAACGAAACTCTTTCCCGGCCGATCCAGTTGACGAGGTCGGTTCGGCAAGGTTGCCCGTTGGCACCTTATTTGTACATTCTGTACGTCGAGGTGTTGCACACATTGATTAGATCCAATGATCACATACCGGGCTTGTTGTTACCGTCGGGGCAGCGCTTTAAATCGCAGGCCTTTGCTGACGATGCAATGGCGGTTATCCCACCCACGGACGACGCGTTTCAAGCTCTGCAGGATACGGTGGAACAGTTTTTCGCAGGCATCGGTCAATTGGGACAAATCATCTGCGTTAATACCGCCCGGAATGCAAGCTCCTGACCATTGGGGCATGAAATTGATCATGCCCAATCAACATGACCGCTTGCTTGGTCACACTATCTCTTTCACACATGACCACATGACTGACCCGGCGCAGGTTCTGGTAGCCGTTCACGAGGCATTGGCCCCCTGGGTCAAACAAAAGGGGGTGAGCCTGATGGGCAGAGCGGCGGTTATTAACAACTCTGTTCTCTCCACTGTCTGGTATCAGCGGGCACTTTTCCAGTTGAGCCAGGCAACACAAACAGCGCTGGTGCATATCCTTGCGCATTATCTATGGAAGGAGGAAGATAGCGAAGCCGTGGTTTTGACCAAAGTGGCGTGGGCCACTGTCACTCAACCCAAGTGGTTGGGTGGACTGTCGATTTTGGACCCGGCCTGACAGACAGCGGCTTTGTTGGTCAGATGGGTGCCGTGGGCAATCTTGTCTGGTCCGGCTTGCCCATGGCGTCAATTGGCAGACTTCTTTCTGGTGTGAACCTGGAATTGGCGCGATGAAAGGTGCGTGTGGCGTGCGACCTTCATTCCTGCCTATTTGAGAAAGAAACTGCCTGATGGAGTTTGGAAAGGCATATTACATGCATGGCACAGTTGCGTCCCGCATCTGTACCCACCGCCGCTGATTATGGAGCGCATTCTCACTCAGCCTCTTTTTGAAAACCCGGGGATATCTGGGAGCATTTGGTGATTCCTGGATGGCGAGAGGGGTTGGCACAATTTTTGATATCTGGGATCTTGATAGGGGGGATTGGAAAACATCGCAGCAGCTTTCCCACAGATTGTCGGGTCTCAGACAACAAGCTCTGCATTTGGCAGCCTTGTGTGACGCGGTGCTTCCCCAATGGACTGTCACGTTGCGAGCAGGCAAAGTGATGCATACGGATATGTGGTATAGAAAGTCCGACGAAGAGGAACCCGCTTACCTGTGGAAAGTTGAGAATATCCGGCAGTCAGGCCAGGTGCAGACTTCGACTTGGAAATTGCAAGGACAGCGGCAATATTTTGGCCAGCCGTTGCTTCTCGAAGAACAACAGAGACCTTTTCCTCCGCTGTCACAACTTGTGTCTGTGTGCGTGTTGCACTACCCGACCTGCGAACGGCCTTTTGCAGTTTCGGTTCCCGCCTGTGAGCTCTCGGTGGACCTGAGAGACTGGGGATGGATACATCCGCTTAAACCGGTGGACCGGGTGAGTCTTCATGAATATTCGACGAAACTCGGATATCAGCTGGCCCGGCCTGACTTGGACATTGGATGGAAGGTGGCTAGACGATGGGTGGCTTCTGGCTGGGTGGCAGACACTGCGGAACGACTAGTTTCTGTGTTGCCACGTTTTTGGAAATTGCTGTTGGATTTGTCCGTTGTTAAACAAGCTAGTTTGTTGTGGCTCACTATGCATCAGGCACTGCCGACGACTGCCTGGTGTGCTTCAAGAACGACTAAAGCTTCCCCTCTCTGTACCGTTTGCTCAGGAACCAGAATTGAAGACTTGCAACACATGTTTCTTCACTGTGAATTGTCCAGAACATTCTGGGAATGGTGGAGGGGTGATGTCCCCCCGATTCCGGATACAGCTTCCAGATGGACAGATGACTTCGTTCTGTTGGGCAATGCGTCTCGTAGACAATCGTCTCTCGGCCTGCTGGGATATGCAGAGGAAACATTGAGAGGGGCGATTCTTTGGACATTGTGGAGCCTCAGGAACTCGGCAGTCAGAAGAAACGAGCACCTTACTCCTCCGATGATCAGAGCTGAGGTTAAATTCAGCATAAAACAGGCCATTGCCACGGACTGGGCGCATAAAGTGGTGGGCAAGGGGTACAGAACCAAACCAATGAACAAGTTCGGTTCACATTGGACACGGTTCTCGGGTTTGGTGAGCTTTGCTGTGGGAGCCACTTGGGTGCCAGAGTTAACATGTACGTCCTTCTTTTTGTAGAGTTGAGGTGACATGCAGTTCTATTCACTCCGAGCACAGTCCTTGTGGGTTTAGGAGCGAGGACTGAGCTCAGCGTATTAAGGAGTTGGTAGTAGGTTCAGTGAAGGCAAAGTAGTTGTTTTTTTACCTTTTGGCTGGGTTTTGGGCTGCACCTGCAGCCCGGGCGTCGGGCCCGTTTCCCGGCATTGTAATTTAGTTGTTTTTTTGTTGCTTTTGAATAATGTGCAGTAGGTATAAGGAATAGGCGGTAGGCGAACGCATTATGTTTACTTGTTTTTGGTTGAGTTCCGGGTCGTATCTGCAGCCTGGACTTGCACCCGGCCGGAGTAGCAGGGAGCAAGCCTGAGGCTGTTGCTATTTTGTGAGGGACGCCGGGCCCGTTTCCCGGCATTGTTAAAAAGACAATTCTTTAAAAAAAAAATAATAATAAAAAAAAATCTCTTTTTATTTTTATTTATTTTTATTATTAGTATTTGTTCTGTGTATTTTATTTTTATTTCAAATT